CCCCAAAACCCCAAAACCCCAAAACCCCAAAACCCCTAATTATAAGTTACAAATTGAATTTAAAGAGGAGGCATTATTAATTTTGCTCTGCCTTATACTCAGATTCATTAAATCTGAGAGGCTTAGAGAGCTAGTCTTCATGATCTGGATCAATATGGATGGCATCTTCTTCTTGAAAAACATCTATCTTTTTCTTTGCTGCTTTCTTTATCTTCGAGCCTACTACAGCTCCTCCTGTTGCTCCAGCAACTCCTCCAATGACAGCACCAGGTACAAGTCCGACTGCTGTTCCAGCTACAGCGCCTGCTCCACCTCCAAAAAGGGTTGTCTTCAGTCCAAAGAGCCACCACTTGCCTTTAGCTTTCTTCTTAACTTCCTTCAGAGATTGTCCTGAAATCTCTGCTGCTTGTTCTGCTTCCTTGTTAACTTCTTTGAGTCTCTCTTTATCTTGTACAAGTTGCTGACTAATCTCCATGTTCAATTCTTCAAGATTTTGGGTGATCTTGATACTTTTCTCTAAGTTGGCATTCTCCCTTCTCTTGCAGTCTATTTCTATATCTCTGCTAATATCTTTGAAGGAGGCAGCTTTGGAATCTTCTTTGAGTTCTTCATCAGGTCTTTCTTTTAGAATTTGCAACTCTTGTTGGGGATAAATGTCAGAAGAGCAATCATTATTTATTCTCGGTGGAATATTGATGTCTGGACTTGATCACAATACAGATTGAGTTTCTTTTTCAATGATGTGTTGTAGTCTTTCATACTTGCTTAAAAGTCTGATGACTTTCATATTTCTTCTAAGTTCTTGCCTTATTGGCATTGAATTAAAGGTGGCCCCTATGTTATTGGGGTCTTCAAAACAGACTTTTTCTTGAATTTCCTTAGTAAATCGGGCAAGCTGATCTTTGAAATCTTCAGCAAGAGTCAAGGCATCATATGCCTTAGCTTTAATAACTTTATAATTTTTTAATTTGCTGATGTAGTTGTCTAGCACCATCACGTACGCATTGAGGTCGGCCTCTATATTTTCTAGATCCATTAAATTTTTACAGAAATTTTCAATTAATATAAGTGAATCAGGGGTTTTGGGGTTTTGGGGTTTTGGGGTTTTGGGG